CTGTCATGAGCAATTCCATACCAGGTGCCTCCTGAGCACTTCTGGGAAATTTCAGTAAGTCAAAACATTAGTCACCCAGGAAGAATGACTGTGAAAACGAGGGGCTTTGCCAGAAGGAGAGCAGGTCAAGTGTCTCTGTGTGTGGCTGTGCTGGGGAATGAGTGCCAATAAATGGAACTGACCAGGCACAAACATTTCCACAGTTTACAGACAATCGAGTGATGATACTGTGGTATTCCCACAGTGAGAAATCCCTTCCCCTTCCACCTCCCAGAAGTTGTGAGCATCCGGGAAAATCCTGAAGCATGGGCGCAACAGCCTCGCCACAGTCACGTATGCCAGCAAGGACGGGCTGGAGGTCTCACTCTGTGACCCTATCATTGAAGGCATAAGCCCACACCAGTGGTCCATGAGGGTAGTTACTGTGTTTTGAGCTGGCAATGTAATCTATTGAGCCTTGGGCAGTAGATCAGTATTTATCCCGGGTATACACATGGACTTTGGACTCCAGTCCAACAATGAGAGATGCACTCTCACCCTGAACTCTTGTGGGAGGGTCTAGGCCCTGCCCTGGATGAAATGACAGACTATGGACACCCCCATGGAGAGCCTCACCCTCCCTGGGGAAATGAGGGGATGTTGGGGGTGGGGTGGGTGGAGGACACCAGAGTGGAGGAGGGAAACGGAGAGAGACCTGGAACTGACTTGTGAAGCAACCTTGTTTCTAATTTAAATTTGAATTTAAAAATAAATAATAAAAATTAAAAAATGGATTCCACATGATTTAAGCTGAAAAAAAAAAAACCTTTATCTTAAGTTGGTGTTGGGCAAACTCCTGCTCAGGTCTACTGTGCCACCATTCAGGTGTGTATCAGTCATGGTACTTTAGGCCTCTGTGGTATTTTGTTGTTGTGTGTGTGTACTGGAAATCAAACCCAAGGCTTCATATATTCTGGTCAAACACCCTACCACTGAACTATGCCCCAACTAGGTGATTCAGTTTTAGAAAGAAAATTTACGAAGTGAGTAAGAAGGCCCTCTAATTTTACTCACTGCGAGACAAAAAAACAAAAACAAAACAATAAAAAACATACTGTAATAGTTCTGGTTTTGCTGTTGTGGGCAGGGGCTGTTTTTGTTTGTTGTGAGATAGGATCTAGTGTATCCTTGATCTCAACTTCCTATGTAGCAGAGGATAACTCTGAACTTAGGATCCTCTGGCTTCTACTTCCTCAGGGCTAGGACTGCAGACATGGACCACCATGCCCAGCTTTCTGCAGTTCCGGAGATCAAGTCAAAGGCTGCTTACAGGCTACATCCGCTCAGTTGAGCTGCTTCCCCAGCCTCCATGGGTCTGTTTTTTAATAAAGGATGGCTCCACAGCTCCATGTATGTAACCCTTAGACTGCACGGAGAAAGTAGAGCTCAGAAGTACATTCTGCATGCGGCTGCTCTGTTGACAGTGTATAAAGAGAAAGCGGTCTAAGGTGATGTTTGTGAACACAGGTCATGAGGTAAACGGACTAAGGGGAGAACAGAACGGATAAATGAGGCCAGGGGCGTCGTGAGTACAAGGGACAGGGCTTCAGCCTCTCCGGTTACTTTGAGCTGAGGGAAGCAGATAGCAGAGAAGTCTGGGTGATGCAAGCTGAGAGAATGAGAGCTGTGGATGTGACTGGGTGCCCCCTCACTGTCCTGAAGAGCAGGGACTACAGAGTCCAGCTCTCACTACACTGGTTTGAATGAGGTGTCCACCATACTCTTGGGCATATGAATATCTACACTGTTAGGGGAGGTTTAGGAGGTATGACCTTGCTGGAGTAAGTATGTCACTGGGGGGCAAGGTTTCAAAGGTTTCCAAAGCCACGTGTGTGCAGCTTTTCATGCACTCTTTGGTTTCCTGTTTGTGTTTTAAGTGGTGAGCTCTCAGGGGCTGTTGTAGCCACCATTTTGCCTGCTGCCATGCTTCTCTGCCATGACGGTGACGGCTACTCCTGCTGGTACAGTAAGCCCCAAACAAAGGCTTCATTCTAGACATTGTTATGAGGATAGCGTTTTATCACAGCAACTGGAAGGTCATCACTAAGCACAAACAATTATGAAGTGGGGATGATAACAATAGATACTGCCTATACTGTGGTTCTAATCATGGATCTAAAGTTCAGAGATAAGAGAATGGTCTTTAGACACCATGGAATCTGTCACTGTTGTTTTGGTAAGGAACAAATTTAGCCTTGGTATTCAACGCAAAAGATAGGTCCCTGAATATGGTAAGCTTCAAACACACAGCACAAAAGCTAACTTCAGGAACCTTAGTTTTCAATGGACAATTTTGTGAAGTTC